CACCTCCCAAACTCTGAGTAACAGAGCCATGCCGCATTGTCGTCCACCCCCCCATAATAAACTGAAGACCTAGTGTACGTTTAGAGGCCCTTATATTTATGATCCCCTGCGCCATGGAAAGCATAATTTCCTGCCGGCGCATATGTGAACATCAAATCTGTTCTAACTAACCTTAATCCTCGCCCCAGTACGTAAGCGTCGGAGAATGAGCATCTTTAGTGCAATATCGCATTTTGAAGTGGCATCTAAGACCCGAACCGCACGTTAGTCATACGCATGAGCTGTGTACCATTGATGGTGCAGAATAAGTACCGATAGTCTCCTTAAGCGAATTAAACAAACGGCTTGAGGTTTTTTCTTGATTTGCGGTAGGTTTAAGTGATTGACATGCTGGGCAGCTCACGGCGTCCATTCGTGACGTCAAATAGTGACAGAGTTCCCGATTACCGCCTGCAGAACTCTCGCCTAATGATGCCTTTTGTAATGGAACGCTTTACTGTGCACGGAGATAGCTAGAGCAATGTCAAGCAGTTTAGCAGGGAAACCTCAACGTCCGTATATAGCCAACGTGCTCTTAATGGCCAACATCGTATCTTTTGACCCTTTGGTGAAAAGTGACGGGTGAAATTTGCGTTACGAACGTGTCGCTTCCTTCCAAACTCGCATGAACTTGTCGGAAGTTAGTATGAAGAGGTGCAGCTCCGCTCAATTAATTTGCTGACCACCTTGCCCAGTTTGGTTGGCAAAATTACACTTAGTGTTTTTCACGTATTTTGTTTACTTTGCCACCACTCACAACGTGTGCCTACGTAAGGTCAAGTTGCTTTTGTGTGACTATCAAGTGGAGGCGGCCCATATATCTAATGACCACACCCGCAAGTCAATGCGGCCGACACATTCGTGGGCACATACGCAACAGGAATCAATGGGTCCACGGACCCCACTCTGCTAACAGAGTGCATGCATATACCGCAATAATACACACCGCTTTTCCCATGCTAGTTTGAGTAGACAACTTTGATTTGTGTTTAACAGCCATCGTGGCCTTTGGGTTGCCACATCTACTTCTAGCTTGATAAATTCCGTAAATAGCTTTTCTCTAGGTAGGAGGGCCGAAAATCTAACACCCATCCACCCAGGTGGGGAATAACAGGTACAGATTTAGACACACTAGCGATCATCTGATATGCCTGATATCACAGTCATTGTTGCGGGCCATAGCCACTTTGGCAACCTATTATAGCCACAACAATGCGTAAGACATTCTTCAGTCTTGGGCGAAGCACATTTGACGTAAAGTTGAGGTAGGGTGTTTTATTAGGCAGTTTCCTAGTTCCAAGTATTTGTTTACCTTGAAAATTCTCCCAACTGAGCATAACACAAACATAGCGATTAATAACCATGAAATTGCACGTCGGTGGGTTCCCAGAAATCACTTTCCCTCAGTGGCTACCGATCGATCTATATATGATTATTGTCCTCCTTCCTTCGCAACATTAGATCTAAGTAGTATTTGGAAGATTCGATACTGGTACCTGCATTTCACTTGCTTAAAACAACTCGTACCATTTGGGGTCTACGTTAGATCGCGTCGCCTACCAAGCCGTCTATGCAGAACTCAAAAATAACGGGCGTGTCCAATAAGAAGCTACACAGACTGTTGCTGATTCAAAATCCGGTGATCATAAGCAATGACAAGACACTCTAGGTTATCGACCTTTCCGAACCTAACCAATGGGTGTTTGAGGATGCTTTGATCGATACGCGTTTTAACGTCGACCTAATGGATACACGGCGCCCACACGACAGACACACTTCTATTAGACGCTTCTTAAAATAGGAACCCCCGGTTTCTACGCTTCCTGCATCTCGAGCCCAGTTCTAACCACTTTCAGGTGATTAAAAGTCTGCTGTCTAACTTGAAAGCATTCTGACCAACGTTTGGAACCTAAAGAGCGACTCTGAACCACCTCCCTCATTTGGGCTTTTCAGCTGAGCTGAAGCCACCAAGGGGTGAGAACAAACCCAATCTAGGAAGCTTAGGTAAAATCTTCGACCCTGCATACAAAAGAGTCAGTAAGGCCGGCGGCTAGACGCACAATGTATTTTTCTGCAAAACGCCTGCGGACGAAATAAAAACTTTAACGTCAAAATGTTGCACTTCTTTGCATATATGCGTAGACTGAAAACC